CTAAAATGTAATTTTTAGTTTGATTAATGCGCTAACTATTCCTCTAAAATGTAATTCTTTAGTTTGATTAATGCGCTAACTATTCCTGTAAAATGTAATTTTTAGTCTGATTAATGCGCTAACTATTCCTGTAAAATGTAATTTTTAGTCTGATTAATGCGCTAACTATTCCTCCAAAATGTAATTTTTAGTTTGATTAATGCGCTAACTATTCCTCCAAAATGTAATTTTTAGTTTGATTAATGCGCTAACTATTCCTCTAAAATGTAACTATTTTATAATTTGGATAACATTTTACTTTTGACATTGCTTTCACTTAAGCTCACTTAAATATTTATTGGTGTATATATATATATATGCATGTGTGACAAAATATTGTATATTTGTGTCTATAATGAACCAAAAGCATACGTTGATAATCATTACATATTTATTTGATTAGAGTTGAGTAACTCAAGACCACTCAATACAATAAAATCGAGTTCTAAACATAATTTTCTATTCAATACTTGAAAAATAACTGGACGACAGTAAATAACAAACAGCCATTAAGTTTTATATGCCTCTAAAATATAAAATTTATCCTGCCAGCATAATTACCATTCGTCATGCTCTGGGTAACTTGATAAGAATTTCCTACTTTGCAATTGGCTTTAGATAATACTATCGCTACAAAACAACCGTTGGGCCGGCCAAAGGAGGATACGTTTTTCGAAGGTTACTCAAGTCACTTCCTAGATGGTCAGCTGTCGTTAAGCTTATAAGCCAGTCAGATCTGAAACTTCATAGAGGATAGTTTAAAATGATGGGACTGATCTTCTACTTGAGCGTTACTGGAACGTTTCTAGTAAGTTCGCCAATTTATATTAATTACGAAGTATAACTTTCAGTAAATCTATGTATTTAAGTGCCAAATACTTGCGAAGCACTAGAAACCAATAGGCCTAACATTTTTGATAAAAATCATGTAAACTGTGGAAATATTTTTTCATTCATTTTAATTTGTTCATTCGATATTACAAATCAGAGAAATGTAAAATCAGCATTTCAGATCTATATTTTGTCTCCCACAAATCACTGCCCAAGTGGCCTTTCGTACAATACCAGAACTCGTAAGCGTTTACAATAAACGTTTGTCTCTTATCGTATAGCCCAACTGACAAGTTCTGGTTTTGTCCTTTGAGCAGTGACTTGTGGGAGACAAAAGATAGGTCTGAAATGCTTTTTTTTTTACACACCTTTGTGTTGAAATCAAAACCGCACAATTAATTTGATGAAAAACTTTACGTTGTTTACGTAGTTTTTACCTAAAAGTTTTAGTTTTGAAAGTTTTTTTGGGTCTCACTGTCCCTCATATTTGTTACGAACTACTTACACACCTTAAATTTTCAAATATTGTATCTTTTAAAACAGTTGCTTAGAGCTTTTACTCGAAGCGCTGGAATAAATTATTTAGTTTTTGGACTCTATAGTTATGTGGTTAAATGTAGTTCCTCATAATGTCAGTTTCTTTGCTCATCTTTCTTATGAAAATAGTCGATGGTATCGAGATGTGTCTTTATTATGTTATAGAAACACATAGGTTCAAGAAATCTATCAAACACAAAGAAACGATACCTTATGGTCCGAGCGCTTTCGTAGTGTGGACTTTTCTTCTTCTTCTGAAGAAAGGTCCACCTTTCGAAAGCGCGAGGGTTATAGGATATCGTATCATCGATGTGTATATGATAGACCATGAACTACTAGTTTATAAGCTTTAGTTAACTTAAAATTATTGTTTATTGTCATATCAATGACTTTTAGTGACTATAGCCTTCCCTTTTGGAATTGTTCGGGATTGGCATGGAGTCTGGTTATGGAACCAGTTATTATCTTATACGTTCTGCTTTTATGGAGAGTATTGAAGAGTTTATGCATTGATATGTTGCGTTCCTTGGAACCGCATCTTTTAATATATTACGTATATCTTCAATAGGAAGGCTGTAACATGCTTATAGATCCGTAAGTCTATTTCCTGTAGGAATTCGTCGTGAACCAAATTTATAGGTGTTAAACATATCGCCTGTGGCCCCGCAGCCCGGGTCTGCACACACAAGCCACTGCATTAGCACTTTCAAATCGTTCACATAAAGTGCAATTAAACTTTTGTACTGGTAAACGTAATTAATACGTTGTTTATTTTGTTTGAAAACGTTTGGTAGTGATTGATTATCTAAGTTCGCTACAGATGGTGCTATCCGATATTCTCGTCCATTTTTTTCATTTCCCATCACTTCTTTGCATGATGAATGACATACTGTAATGAATGCACCGATGAAAAATGTTTTTTA